CAACAGTTATCAATTGTATTTTTTAAGCTACATCTGAGGTCCTAGTGCTAAACAAGGCAATTATTACACATTAAAAACCATGATTATTAAACTCTGATCAACCTTTCAGGAAGACAATTAATGAATTATTCTTTAACATAATAAACTACAAAATGTCTAGAGGTGTTGGTAGGTGATCAACTGGGTGGTGGTAGCCGAATTCATCATCATATTCTCTCGTGAAAACATTTATTTTTTTTTATATAAATATGCTTGAGTACTAGTATAAACAATAATATATAATAAACAGGGGAAAATATGATATATATATATATATATGACAATGTCAGACCACGGAGGAAAAATTAAACAGGAAATTTCCTTAAGTACTTTCGTATATTAAATACATCTTCAGAAGGTGTGTATCACCTTCTGAAGATGTATTTAATATACGAAAGTACTTAAGGAAATTTCCTGTTTCATTTTTCCTCCGTGGTCTGACATTGTCACATTCTTAATCACGTGTTTATTTTCGTGATATACACACATATATATATATATATATATATATATATATATATATATATATATATATATATATATATATATATATATATATATATATATATATATATATATATATATATATATAATGCCATCTTGCAGTGCTGTTGATCCTGGTGTCTGTTCGCTTTGAAAACCTGGTCATCTGGCTCTTGGGAACGGAATCAATGAGACGAAACTTAGAAGAGTCGATGCGACGTCAGCGCGGGAACCTGCCCACGCCCATAGAGGGCATTGTGGCCCTCTGGGTCATAGGTAAGCCAACTCCTCCTCCGCCTCCTTGTGTTCAACGGGTTTGAGTCCAGCTCTCCCCCCCCCCCCTCACACACACACACAAACGTAGCTACGACGTTGCTTCCACATTGTGGTTACGTTGCGGTTGCTGGGACCCAGCAGGCACGTGGTCGACACAATGTTGATTCAACGTTGAATCAACGTCGATAATGTTGATGCTCGTTACTCGAGCATTCGCGTCTCCCCCCCCCCCCCCCCTTTCCCCTGGTGAGCTAAACGTCTTTTTTTTTAGATATATACACGATATATACAATTTCGTTACTGAATTATATAACAAAAAGTTAGGAAGATCATTTGATGATCCTCCTAACTTTTTTCTCCTAAATCTCCCTCCAGTTAGGAGGATTTATTTGATCATTTCTATCCAATAAACACCACTTTTGAGATAATATTTAGCAAAATAAACATCGCGGTAATCTACGTTAGCGTTAATTGTGAAGTCAAGTAATAAGAGGCGTGATTGCAAACGAAGGAGCGTCGAGGTGGTGGTGATTGTGATGATGTTAGTGATAGTGATGGTAGTGATTGTGATGATGTTAGTGATAGTGGTTGTAGTGATTGTGATGATGTTAGTGATAGTGGTTGTAGTGATTGTGATGATGTTGGTAAAGGGTGCTTATGGTGCCTGCCGCAGGGTTCCTGTGGGAGGAGGCGAGGGAGATCCACTCGGAGGGCTTCAACAAGTACATCAAGAACATGTGGAACATCTTGGACATCTTGCGGGACACCCTCTACAGCATCACCATCTTCCTCAGGATCTTCGCCTTCATCCAGCAGAGTCAGGAGATTGCCAGCGTTCCCACGGTCAGTCCCTGGTTCCCACGGTCAGTCCCTGGCTCCCACGGTCAGTTCCTGGCTCCCACGGTCAGTTCCCTGGCTCCCACGGTCAGTTCCTGGTTCCCACGGTCAGTTCCTGGCTCCCACGGTCAGTTCCCTGGCTCCCACGGTCAGTTCCCTGGCTCCCACGGTCAGTTCCTGGCTCCCACGGTCAGTTCCCTGGCTCCCACGGTCAGTTCCTGGCTCCCACGGTCAGTCCCTGGCTCCCACGGTCAGTTCCTGGTTCCCACGGTCAGTTCCCTGGCTCCCACGGTCAGTTCCCTGGCTCCCACGGTCAGTTCCCTGGCTCCCACGGTCAGTTCCCTGGCTCCCACGGTCAGTTCCTGGCTCCCACGGTCAGTTCCTGGCTCCCACGGTCAGTTCCTGGCTCCCACGGTCAGTTCCTGGTTCCCACGGTCAGTTCCCTGGCTCCCACGGTCAGTTCCCTGGCTCCCACGGTCAGTTCCCTGGCTCCCACGGTCAGTTCCCTGGCTCCCACGGTCAGTTCCCTGGCTCCCACGGTCAGTTCCCTGGCTCCCACGGTCAGTTCCCTGGCTCCCACGGTCAGTTCCCTGGCTTCCACGGTCAGTTCCCTGGCTCCCACGGTCAGTTCCCTGGCTCCCACGGTCAGTTCCCTGGCTTCCACGGTCAGTTCCCTGGCTTCCACGGTCAGTTCCCTGGCTCCCACGGTCAGTTCCTGGTTCCCACTGTAAATCTCTTCTCACACGGTGAGTTCTTGGTTCCATAGTAAGTCTTCCCTCCCATGGTCAGTCACCTCTCCCATGGTGTCTCCGCTCTTACAGTCAGTCCCTGCTCCTATGGTAAGGCTCTTCTACAGTAAGTTCCT